TGGATGGGATCCAGTTGCTTAGGGTTTTAAGTCGATTTTAATTATGCTTTTGCTGTTAATTAGTGGGCCAGGTTGCGGTACCATACTGATGAGTGCTAATAAGACAAACATGTGCCCATTGAGGCACATCTGGCCTAAGCAATCGCTGCTTCAGGTTTTTTTGCATTTTCTTTTGGTAGCTCTGTGACATTTTAGTCTATAAACATAACATGCCTGTCTTGTTTAAATGCATAAGCTATGAACCAAGGACAGTTTAGTGCAGAAGTGAATTACTGAAAGTCAGTGTGGTGTTGTGTTAGGACTGCAAGACTGGGACTCAGGAGATCTGGGTTCTAGTCCCCATTCACTCATGGAGCTGACTTTGGCCCAGTAAGACTCCCAACAGTATTTGTCATAGACTATCAGTCCAACCTATCTCACAGGGTTGTCATGAGGATAAGATTGAGAGGAAGAGGAGGAGAATTATGTAAGCACCTCAAATTCCCTGGAAGGGACAAAGGTGAGATACAAATACAAATAAATACACAAATGATAATAAAACTCCTAAATCTCAAACAGAGATGACATAAGCTGTAGTCCAGAATTCCCAAGGTGGTACCCACTGGCATCCACAGAGCTCCCTATTCCCTGTCTTGTTTGAAAAATATATTTCACAATTAAAAACTCACTCTCTTTTTAGCCTTGTTATTTCAGCCTCCTAGCTCTGCAGCTCACTTTTCTTCCTCCTCTTGGCTGCTAACCTTGCTTTTCCTCTCCCGCTTTGCCTTGCTATTTCAGCTTCTGTTTCGCTATCCCCACACCCCTTGACTGTTCATTTCACTGTTGACTAGCCAAGCCCTGACAGCAGGCATTAAGTGACTAGCCACATTCCTTGTGGGACCATTTTGGGGTGGTGCCTCCTGTAGTTTCTCAAATTTCTAAATGTGCCTACTGGTCAGGGTGTCTGCCATGGACTCTTACAAGAAATATTCATTACATAAATGGCATCTTGAAATTCCCCACCCTATCTTACAGCAGAAAAATTGTGGAACAATTTCAATGAAATAGTCCGAGAAGATAAGGTATTCTCAAAAAAATTCTGACAGGCAGAGCACTATTGGCAAAGGCCACCCTCCCCTCCAAAAATTAAATCTTTCTCTTTCATAGTTTTTGTGCTGCTACTCTCAATAGCAGCACAAAAAATAATAGTGAATAAAATTTGTATGAATGTTGTCTTGTATTTCTAGTGGTGAGTGATAAGACATTTCAGGACTTTTCTGAAGAAAAAAACGTATTCTGAGGTTTAGGTTCAGTTCTAGTTGCCATTCTTCAGCAGATAGCACTTTCCTGGGTTCTTCCAAATGTTACATTTTAAAAGCGTGATTTCTAATTCAGGTGCTGATAATACCTGCAAGATCTGTAGAGGGAGTGACAGGATCAGGGCCATGCCTAGCTCCAGGGACAAGGGAGGGTTACTGCTACTTCAAAATCCAGCCTTTAATTTCCTGTAAGTTTTTTTTTTCTTCTTCCATGGAAGGGCTTCCATTTTTCTAGGGTATCCTTTTTCCAGAGTTGGGTTCTTCCTTCACTCTGGTGTGTTAAAGCACCAGCTTTTTTGGGCTAGAATACATATTTTTAATATCCTAATCATCATCACATTTTAATGCCACTCTCTTTTTCTGTGCAGTGTACATGAGAATTTCCACACTCAATTTTAGCCTTCTCTGGGATGGAGGTTAGGCTAGGAAATAATACCAGCTTAAGGCCAAGAGCTATGTCTGTATCTACTGGTTCAGAACATAGTATGCAAAGCTTATGTATCCTGAGCAGATTATGGGTCCATCTGGTTCAGTAATGCATGCTATGATTAGCAGGAATTTTTCAGTCTCAGGCAGAGGCACTCTGAGTCCAGCACCCAAAATCCTCTTAACTGGAGATGCTGATGATTGAATCATGGAGATATGGCAAGCAAAAAAAATCTCTAGAACTGAGTCATGGGTTTAGTTTATAAGTAACTAGGAAGGGTGAGGAGAATTTTCACTGAGTGAGGAGAGAAGGGAACACAGAACTGGAGATAGGTGGTGTGGGTCTGGGCAGGTGAGTTTTAATGCCACTTATGGGGCAGGATAGAAACTCCTGCAGGGAGTGTAACGTGGAGAAGATGAGTAGATCAACAGACAGCCTGTGTAAGAAGCCAAACAGTGAATATATGGATACCCTGTTCCTTCTCAATGGCACACCCTTTCCAGGTCCAAGGCCTATGGGATTCCTGGCAAGCACTAAACTGGGACAATGGCAGAATGGGAGTGCAGCTCCTTGGATAAGAGGAGCTGGTGGGATGAAAGAGAAAGGATTAATATAAGGCAGCAGGAAAGACAGTAGCTCTTCCCTCCACACAGCCTGGGTCAGAGATGGCCAACTTTGCCATGTGTGCTAAGCGACACGCCTTTCTCCAGAATGTAGTTTGCTGGAACCCATGGGAAATGCCAACTGGCAGTTCATAAGTCAAATCTGACATTTAAATAATAGGCCTAATGAATGAATAATAAAATATCTGCCCATAATTGATGACTTAATTAGCAGTCTGGTGTGGTTCTGCTTAAGTTTCATAGGAAAGAACAGAAAGTTAGTTACTGATGAATTTTCATCATCAATTTTTGGGTTCTTCCACAATATTTTACAGTACCAAGTTGCTTATCTTGCTGCAGGGGATTATCTCTTGGTTTCCTCAAATAATGTGTGTGAGAATATACAAGCTGACTCTGAATTATGGGAAATGAACTATGAAGAATGAAAATGACATACCATAATGACTGCACAAGTTTTGTCTCAACCATGAAGATCATCAAAGCTTATGTCAGATAAGTGCAACACTGAATCAAATATCTCATACACAACTTTCAAATTCACAAAGGAATCCTAAAGCCAAAACTATGCTGCTGCTATTTTTTAGATTAAAAAATTCAGCAAGAAGTAAGAAAACAGTGAAATCTTTCTAAGATTGCATGAAAAGAAAACAATAAAGAAAAATAACCTCAGCAATGTAATCACTGTCAGTCTCCCACATTTACCTACACTTCACCTAGCCAGAAAGATGAAAATTAAATAAATAACTCAAAGCCTTACAGCTATACATTCATTGTGTGAACAGAATAAACTAACACACTTCACTTCTGAAGCAAGAAACATTTCCAATAATAATAGAGAAAGTCAAGCATTACTTCTACACTGACTGAGCTAAAGCTGTGACAGGATTATTATTATTATTATTACTACTACTACTATTATTACTATTATTTGTAGGCGAACCCTTCCCCCTTTTATTATTGCTAGAAAGATAATAAAAGAATGATGCAGAAGTGACTGTGACTTCAATTTTAATGCACAGGTGTTCATTGGTATGGCAGGCAAATATACCACAGTAAATAACTAGGAGCAACCCAAATCAACAGAGAGTCCGGCTCCTTATTAAAATACGTTCGATTAACAAATGTGTTATGACATTAGCTTTCTGAGTGTACTGGAGTAGCTACAGGCTTAGCTGGGTCAAGAAGTTCTCAGTTCAGTTCTTGCCTCTTGCGGTGCTGGGCTAGGCGCTCCCCCTAAGCTTCAGTCTCCTATGCCTACACTTCAAGGGTAGTCATATTGACCTACTTTTTACAGCATTGCAAGGAACAGTGTAAAATACACTCTGAAATGCCACATGAACAGTAAGTATTATTACATCTGATGGAGCAGGCTACTTCACGACATGGCCTGTTCTTAATCTTCATATGATACAATGTTAATGATCACAGTCCTTTGGTCATCTGTGCTTCGTGCTGTTCTTACAAACTAAGGAGGCGGCCTTGCTCATGTGACAAATACAGAAAAATTGCAAATACATCATCTAAAGCAGGGGGAGGAAACCTGGTGTACTCCGAAGCGTAGCTGATGGCCAGGGATTACGGGAGTTGTAAGCCTGGTCTCTTAACCATGATTCAGAGCACTGAAGAATCTGAACAAGCTGCAACAAGAGGGCATAACCAAGAACTGGGGAAAAGGTATAATAGAAACAGGGAAAGAGATTCTGTTATAGGCTGGGGGTGCTGGTCTAAATGTCCCTACAAGGGCCCGCTTTTGAATGTGGAGTTGCAAGAGGAGACACACGAATGGGGTTAACAGTCGGCAGGTTTAGCTGGGTAGATTCCCTTCTGCTGTTGTGGCTGTTCTCAGAGTTGGCCAAAGGCAGACAGTTCTGGAAGGAGAAGCTGCTTTGCTGTCCTCGCTCTTTAAGAAATATGTCAATCTGTGGGTGTGTGACAACAGCAGAAGCATGCCAAGTCAGTAGTTTGGACAGGCTGTGCTGCAGCCGAGACTAAAAGGAGGCAGGCAGGCAGCCCTTTGCTCTCTACAGGAAATCCTATGGCACTAGGCGTCCTCTTAGAAATCCCATGGGAGGTCAGACCTGTTTGGAGTACTAGCGCTCAGACTCTTATGCAGAGCTTGTATATATCTGGAAATAAAACTTGTATCACAGAAATACAAGTCTCTAGTGAACTTTTTTAAAAGAAGCTGAACCCAGGGAAAAGGCTGGAGCACCTGAAACTTTTCACCACTAGGAAGAGTGGTGTATATATGTAACAAAATTGTTTCAGTTTTTCTGTTGAGGGCCTTGGGAACAGAAAACAGCCAAAACAAAACAAAACAAAACAAAACAAAACAAAAGCAGCCTCCCCCACCCCCTGCAAAAGAATTCAGTCTGTCAGATGCATGCTAGATTTTTTATATTTTGTAGTGTAAATTTAATGCAACAAAGGAGCTAAGAATTTATTTTGAGGGGAAAAAAATAAGACCAGGACACTTAACCCATTCAGCTGCTTAAACAAACAACAAAAAAACCCTCTTTTAGTATACTATTTTTAAAAATGTCATGGAGCAGTTTATTTTTGCTCTTATCATGAAACATGGAACATTTTTCAACCCATAAGGGCATTGCTGTAACACTGAATAAATGCTGCCACCAGATACACTTTTCCTACCTCTTCTTTTTCAGCACTTTGCAAATCCCGCCACTCCTCAGTCACGTGACCAAAATCCACAGTGTTCATGGCCACCTTGTACTCTCCAATTATATCATGTTTGGAGAAGCGATCAAAGTCATATACTGCCATCACCAAGGTTTTTCCTCCCAGTTCAGAATACGGCACCTGGATGGAGAGAGAGAGAGAGAAAGAGAAAGAAGGTGGGAGGGAGGTAAGTTATGCATTTCTATAGATAGATAGATAGATAGATAGATAGATATAGATATACTGCAATGCTAATCTAGTCCCTAGTTTTATCAGCTGCCATTTGTGCTAAAAACTGAACAACAAAAATATGAAGCACGTTTTCCTGGATAGCTGTCTGATGTGCTGCTTGGTAAGGTCAGAATGCAACCTTCTATAAAACAATGTGGCAGCTCACTCATCTCTCTTGGCTATAACCCTGCATTCCTAAAGTCTAGTGTGAAACTAAAGACCAATGATTTGCCCCATGGATACGTGAGCCTTCAATACTGCAGTATGATTCTCTCAATAAATCATGCTGTCACTTTCCAAGAATAAGGTAGCCTACAGTATGATGGAAAAACACAGAAGTAGCTTTCTGGGTCTGGCATAAAGTAATTAAAAACCAGGCTACTTTTGTTCAGAACAATACTTGGCATTTCTACTCAGAAGTAAGTCCTCTGCAGTTCAGTTGAGCTTACTCCCAGGTAGGAAGCCTCAATATTGCAGCCTGAAAGTGGCTTTATTCTAATAATATTTGCTTCAGGATTTTACTTTTCACTACATGGATGCTGAAGTACGATATATTGCTATAAATGTTGGCAGCAGAAGGCCAGGTTCTGGCTAATTTTCCAGCTGTTCTGATGTGGTAAGCACAGATGCTTTGGGTTAGGAAGGTTAGGAAGGTGGTCATTAGTCATATTTTTAATATTCAAGGGAAGTGATAGAGTTGGTTCCAAAAAGAAAGTAAAAAATTGTTTAAATTTGGCTTGGAGTCATGACCACTTTCATTAAATTCTATTATGCTCCCCAAATATGAACAGTTCCATATGCTTCTGTAAAATTTATTTCAACATTATTCCATTTCTTAAGAGGGCTGAATAAAAATTAAAACAACAGAAATTTTCAGTCTGCCTCGCTCTGGTTCTTTGCAAACATTTAACTTTCATTTTGTTCCAAATTCAATGCTGGAATGTGCATTGCATTGACTTTCTTCTCATAGAGTTTGATATTTAAAATGTATGAAAAGATTTTCAGGTTAAAAGACCTGATCTTATTTCCTTTAAGAAAAAGATGGCACCTTAAGAAGCATATTTATTGACATTGTAGAATTGCAGTAGCAGAATGATGTCTTATTTACTATTATTGGTGCTGCTGCCATCATCATCATCATCATCATCATCACCATCACATTTTCAACTCTTTTTACTGTTTCAAGAAACCCAAGGCAGCTTACAATGCTTCTCTTGCTCTCTAGTTTTCTCTCACAGCAACCATGTGAGGGATATCAGGCTGACTGGCCCAAAGTCACCCAGTGAGCTTCATGGCTACATGACAACTAAAGCCAGACAACCCAAATCTCACTTCCAAATTAATTAACTACACTGAATTGGATCTCCATTATACCATAAAATGTTTTCAGCTATCTGATATTTGTGGCTGTAAAGGTGTGGAAATTGTTCTTCACTGGACTATTATGATTTTTTCATTAAATTCTATTATGCTCCCCAAATATGAACAGTTCCATATGCTTCTGTAAAATTTATTTCAACATTATTCCATTTCTTAAGAGGGCTGAATAAAAATTAAAACAACAGAAATTTTCAGTCTGCCTCGCTCTGGTTCTTTGCAAACATTTAACTTTCATTTTGTTCCAAATTCAATGCTGGAATGTGCATTGCATTGACTTTCTTCTCATAGAGTTTGATATTTAAAATGTATGAAAAGATTTTCAGGTTAAAAGACCTGATCTTATTTCCTTTAAGAAAAAGATGGCACCTTAAGAAGCATATTTATTGACATTGTAGAATTGCAGTAGCAGAATGATGTCTTATTTACTATTATTGGTGCTGCTGCCATCATCATCATCATCATCACCATCACATTTTCAACTCTTTTTACTGTTTCAAGAAACCCAAGGCAGCTTACAATGCTTCTCTTGCTCTCTAGTTTTCTCTCACAGCAACCATGTGAGGGATATCAGGCTGACTGGCCCAAAGTCACCCAGTGAGCTTCATGGCTACATGACAACTAAAGCCAGACAACCCAAATCTCACTTCTAAATTAATTAACTACACTGAATTGGATCTCCATTATACCATAAAATGTTTTCAGCTATCTGATATTTGTGGCTGTAAAGGTGTGGAAATTGTTCTTCACTGGACTATTATGATTTTTTTAAGTATCTGAAAATAATACAATATCTTTGCAGACGTTATTTGTACTAACTGTTACTTCACTTTTACTTGCCAAGGAACCATATAAAGTGGATATATGATGCTAGCTTTGGAGCGCTAGTAACACAACTCACTTTATTTTATTGCTGCTAGCTGGAGCCGGGGGTCAGACTAGATAGCCCAGGAGACCCCTTCTGACTCGCTCTGTTTCTATGTTTCTACACAGTGCCTTTGCTCACAATAGCAGAACTAAAACATATTTAAGGGAGGATGCAACGGGTCTATGAGATCATGAGATTTCTGCATTAGACTATTAATCTGTGGTTTTGGCTATATTCACTTTTGAGGCAGAAATGAGATCTCAGCACTACCTAAGGTGTTTCCTTTCCTGCTTTTCTGCTGTATAACCTCTAAGTGGCACTGTGGTACAGTAGAATAACACAAATAATCAGGAGGCAATCACAAATCCTTTTACTTTAACAATAAAATGCTGTATTTCCCCTGCTCTAAAATAAAATGTTGTATTTCCCCTGCTCTAAAACATGTCAGCGAAAATGCAGGTTAGACACAGAAGTGAAACTAGAGTACCATGTTGTCCTTAAAAGAACCAATCTTCACCTGTGAGCAGGGAATGATGAGTACACAATGAATTCCTCATGGAGAACAGCCCTACCAAGAAAATCCTAATTTTGATTAAAGCAAAAGAGGTGTGTGCGTGCGCGTGGGGGTGTTTTCAGCTGTAATATCATCAGCTATTCTCATTATCTGGGTGTTTATAAAGTTCAGATATGAGTTTGATGTGAAGCATATAATTAGCATCAACACAGACATCTTATGGCTGAGATCTCACTTTGAAAGCCTATGGCAGCAGCTCAGAAATCACAGATTTAAACACCTTCAGTCTCCTTCTGACATTGCAGAACAATTTGAAGGTTCTCTCCTGGCTGAACTCTTTATACTGAATAGAACTTTACTTTCAGACGCTACTAGTTCAACAAGATCTATATTATTATGGCATTCCAGTCAAGACATAAACCAAGGGTGAAATTCCTTTTTACTATTTCACCTTTTAATATGTGTGATCAGAAATGTGCTAATTAAAGCCAATTCAATCTTCTGAAAAGCTGTTAGCTCGTGGATTTTAAAAGCAATTATTTAAGGAGACAAAAGTAAAATGAATTCTTATTCATGCTGGACTGCTCAAAAGGAATGTATGTGTCCTAGAAGACCACATGATTTCTGCAGTCACAATTAATACAGAAGACGAAAGAGGTTTGACACGGAACGTGCACCTCCATTAGGAGCACAGTAAAAACTCTCATAATTATTTGCCAGAATGTAACTGCAGGGTAGGTTTCATGGTGTGCTTGCCCTGAACTCATTTGTCATGACATGTTAAGTGACAAATATTAATGGGTGGATAATAAAATATGGATGCTAAAGACATGTGGGCATGATCCAAAGCTCTATAGCCATGCAAGAAGCAACAGGGTTTGTCAATATGAACCACATGGTTGAAGTGTATTGTGCATTCTCTGGCTGAAAGAAAATCAAAGGAGTCCCTGCTGCTCATGGAGTTTCCGTATCTACATGCACACATGCAGACACATATGACTAACTAACTAATGGACCCTGGTCATTCATTATGTAGCAATGAAGGGGTCTCTTGGTTTTTGTTTTCAGCATATCGATCCATCTGAAATACTGGAGTTACTACATGCATCTTTTCTTTCATGCCCAACATACATTGATTTGCTTCATTATAAATGGAAGGAAAACTCAGTCCAGAAAGGTTCCTTCTCTCCCTCCCTCTGTAAAAATAAAGGATTATTTTATGAACATCTTCACGAGAAAACAGCTTATGTTTGCAGTAGTGGCAGAGGCCTCTAAGGATATATTTCTTGTTGAATGATTACATAGCCTGAATCTGTTATTGTCCCTGCTTTCAAAGCAGAGCTGTCATTATAAGACTAAGTATACTGAAGGAAAGGCCTGTAGCAATTGAAGCACAGTGAACATTTCATACTAAAACCCTTCAAAGTATGTTCAGCTGTACTGATGTTTTATTGCTGAAAATTGAGCTCTGAGTTTGGAAGACATTAACTGAATTTCTTAAATTCTGAAACAGCAGAGCACTTGAATACAAGCTTTAATCCCCCACCTCCCCATATCCCCAAGAGTTGTTTCAGGGCCATCAGTGAAAGGGTCTGGAGAACAGGAACACTGCATTTCTTCCCTTCCTCACTTCACTGCAAAGAAATAGATTACATTATTCTCAAATGTGCGTCTTCTGACTTTCTGATTTTTCCATTTTTTAAAACAAAAATCTGTAACCTAAAACATAGTACTCTGAAGAAATGCACATAGGAGTGGGGTAACCATTCATACCTCACCAAAAATAGGGACAAAAACAGGACACATATTTGGATAAAATGGGTGTAGGCTAGTTTATACACACAGATTACATCTGGATTTTTTTTTCTAACTTAAATAGAAACATAGTACATCTTGGTATAGTGGGAAAGTGTGACAGGACAACCTATGTGCTTCCCCTAGTCTGCTATTTAGGTGCTATCTGTTGGTGGACAACTTCAAGACTCCTGATCACTCTCACATTCATTATCTTTCAACTGGACTTGGACTGGACAATCCACAATCCTTCAACCAGAGGACACGTTCAAATAGAGGACTATTATCTGTGGAGAAGGTCAGCTGGCTACTCTATATATGGAAGCACTGTTAGATTTCTTCTGTTCCTCAAATGCTTTCACCACTCATATCAACATCCCAGCTACAGGTTTATACGGTAAATGTCCAGTTCAAAGCTGTGCAGACACAGATGACTTCTGTGAAAATGAATGCAGTCTTTGTGATAAATTCTTAGCTTGAATTTTCATCTCATTAACTTCCTAGATGACCTTAGGCAACTTAAGTCTCTCCTAGGTTCAGCTCTGCAAGATGGGGGATGAGAATACAGACTTACCCAATAGGGTTGTTATAAAGTTGACTATTTATACATGAAAAGTGCTTGAATACATGAAAGCATTAATTCAGCATTTTCCCTTTATTGTGCATTAATTTGTATAAGAGGGAAAAGAAAAAGAATGGGGTGCTAAATTTTGAATGAGTTCCCATTGGAATGAATAAGAAAAAAGCTCCTGACTCTTTTAGCAAGTGGACATTCATTTCACTTATATCTATTTAAATCCATAACAGAACTCAGGCCTGTTCAGGATAGCACTAAAAACGGACTGGAAGAAGTTCTTGGTGAACCTGTGACAGAGGCAGCTTCACTCAAAATCCAAATAATCCATGCTACAGCATGACAAGGTATTGTGTCATTTCCTAGAAGAATTCCAACCAAATTCAAGGCCAGATGCACAAAATATGGAAAATAGCAGAGCTCTGTGACTACAATTGAATTATTCTACTGGTAATAATCCTTTGTCCTTAGCAACATTTTTCATTACAGGGCAATCTCTGAAATGTCTCCAAATGAGAAATCCATTATGCTGGAGGTCACCAATTAACTAGGACATATGCAATTCAGTGACTGAGCATGAGATTAACCTTTTGCATATATAGCAAACAAAGAAAACATACAATTTTCAAAGAATACCTTGAATGTAAATTGCTCATTGAAGACAGGGTTAAGGGTTTTCCTGTGAACTTTTGTCTCATATTTCTTCTTCTTATCAGGAAGCAGGAAAACTTTCACATAGGGATCAGATGTACCACCCATATCTAAAGCAGGCAGCTCAGCAGCCTGAATAATCCCTACCAAAAGCTGAAAGAAGCAGGAGAGATAGAGAGAAAGGATCAACAGCATAATATTAAACTGGCATTTAAAGACATCTTGCATGTGCTGGGTTTTATGACAACACATATATGTACACAAAAATATAGCTGTATGTTTACATGCATGTGCGCGCGCGCGCGCGCGCGCACACACACACACACACAGAGGAAACATCCTAGGGACTGAAAAACTAAAATGTATGAGTCTAAAAAAAGCTCTGTCCAATTTTCCAGATGCAGATTTTGAAAAGCTGCTTTTAAGCAGACAAGAATTAAAGTGCTGCTGATTTCAGCTATATATGCCTTTCATATTTTCTTTAAAGTCATCAGCATAATAAAACAGCATCTTAACAGCTCCTTTTTCATTGTTTTTAAAGGGTTTTACAATTTACAGTGATACATTAGTAAAATACATATGTATGCAGTCACTTAAGAAAAAAATTCTTTAGCAATTCATTAACAATGAATCTTAGAGCTACACTGTTACCCATAAATGTCACAAAATTGAACTAGACAGATAGGTAAATGAACATACAGAGACAGTAAGACTTTCATAGACAAATCCTTCCCAATTTTTTCTTCCATTTATATATAAATGTAAATCAGCTGTGTACATCTATGATCTTCCAGACACAGCTTGCGTATAACTTTCATCATCTTCATCCTTTGACTATGTTGACTAGAACTGAACTAAGTTAGGATTTAACAACATCTGGAGGGCCACAGTTTGCCACTCATGATCTTAAGGGTCTAATGGAAAAGTCACATAACATTCTTTGGATTACTATTTTGGTCATGGACTTACTATGGAATTTCTTACACTCAGTCCATTTTGCTCAGAACGATCTACTCTTCTCAAGAATTGTAGGCAAACTTATCTTCAGAGCTGTAGAAAAAAATGTGCTACAGTATACAAGCAGTTTGTGTTGTGGCCCAATCAGTTTGTCCACCTGGTACTTTTAGCTAGGAAGATGGGAATGCACTTCAATTTCCTATAAAAGTCATTATCTCTAGAATGGAATTGCTATGCTTTTGAAATTTTATTTGGTCATCTCTTCTGATTTCCATTTTCATGATACATTTGGGATTCCTTCTGATCACTAAAGGTTTTCCTGGTTTTTCACAACTCCTTTCTAAGGAGGTTGAAAAATTCAGTAGGGAATCTGGGTCTATTCCTAGGTTATCCGAGCTCTTCCAACATTTCTGGGTTTGGGCAAGGCAAGAGGTGTGTCTTTTGCTGAGCTGTGTGTTGTGTGTGAACTAGCCACTGTTTAAAGTGGCAAAGAGAAGTTGACCATGATATCTGAACCGTGGCAGCACAAGAAAATAATTGCTACTTAGTACCTTAATTAAGCACAGAAGATTATCAAGATTGAATTAGCAAAAAGAAACATTAAAATAGTTTGCGAATCCTTTCAATAATTCTTTTGTCCATCTTCTGTGAAAGGTTATATTTCCCAAAAGAAGAATAATTTTTCTTTTCCCCATCCCTTTAGTTTATCCTTTGTTCTTTTAAGATTTTAAAGTTTCCTGCTGATTTCAAAAGATCCTGGTGATGCAGAGTGACCACTAAAAACCTGAAAGACTTTCCTATACACCCTTGCTCTGGGAACTGAGGGAGGAGGAAAATGCTTTATCCTTAGACCTGTGGACTCTTTAATGCCTTCTTCGAAATTAGAATAGAAGGTAGGAGTAAGTAAAAAAGATTTGTGATATGGAGTACAAACCTACTGTTGAGGCAGAAAGATTAAGAACACCTATTGATAGGTGGGCAGCACCTCTCAGGGAGTGCTTAAGCTAGTGCAAGAGCTTATTGGTAGCCTCTCCTGGTGTTGTGGGTTTAAAGCTTATTGGTTTTATGCAAAGCTATTGGGTGAACAGCTATATTTATCCAACACTGCGGAAGAATATGCAATGTGAGCTGCAAGCCGTTGTAATGCAGCCATGAACAAGTGTAAAAACATTCTACTTTCCTTCAGTGACTATAAGCAATTTCTATGAATGCCACTTTCAATCTTATATTTTGATCCATTTTCTAATTTCACATTAATGAATCTGAAGTTCAAAGTAAAAAGCTTTAAGAACATTTAAAATGAATGTTCATATTGCAAATATGACTATTTAAGAAGCTTATGGAAATGAAATTTCTGCAATATTTCCATTATATCATTTATTGTGTAGTCTTCTGGGACTGGAGGCATCCGAATCTCCATTGCCTTGCCAGGGTATTGCCAGAAGGGCAGGAGGAAAAGAGAAATGCCTTTCCATCCACCTTATCAGTGTTTCATTCTAGGCAGGCCTCTGAGACCATCTAGCTTCATCGTGCCACTAGGAATAGAAATGGGAATCAGAGAGATCTGTGGATAGGGTGGGTCTACAGTGTCTCCTTCATGTCCAGTCTCACCCATGGGCATTCCCCATTTCTTCCCTCTCCATTGCCTTCCGAGGTTGCAACACTGACCTTGAAAGAGTAGATTTCTCCTCAAAATTGTAACTCTGTCTATGGTCTTGAGCTAATGGTGGGGGAAGAAGATCTACATCTTATGGTCTGTCGAACACCTACCCAGGGACCATAGGATTCCTCTATTACAAGCTGAAATAATGGGGAAACTACATATTTATAGCCCTAGTAACATTTTTTGGTGTTTTCAGAAGAGTATGCAGCATATGTCTGTGTCTCTGTTTTCACTCATGCAACATTGTTTGATCGCATTTTTTTTCAAACCTGATTATTCTGAAAGTCATAATCCAAAGAATACTGGATTTTCCCTAATTTTTCCTCTTCTTTGGCTTCTTCTTTATCTTCTCCATCAGTCAACCCGGTTTCAGCATCATCATCCTTAAGTGCCTGCGGAGAACAGGGGCAAAAACAATTGAAATGAATATGACTTTCTTCAGGCAAGGCCTGGAAAGACAGGCACACGTGCTCAACCTATATAGTGAAGCTATCAAAAGCAAGCATGAAGGCACAAATCATATATGTTGTTGACATATATATTTAGAGTACCCTGGTTGCACAAGAGAAATATCATAATCAGCAAGCAGCAAGGAAGCAATGAAAGAAGGAAAAAGCACCTCTCAGGGATATTGCAAGCAACAATTGTTTCAAAGCCTGAAACACAGAGAGAATGTCAATGTGATATTTAACAATTGGATTGAATCAAATTTCCTTGTCCAAAGACAAGGGTGGATAACACATGCTATTAAATAGGCAAAGTTGCACACTCATTCAGTTTAAAACAGTTGTGCATGCTGTGAATCTTTTAGACTAAAGCAAAGTGTTTCTTCAGGGTTACTATTTTAAGTGTGTATGTGCATTTATGTATGGGCGACTTCTTTATAAAATGAGATGCAGAACATTTTTAATGTTTTGTTTCTCTGTGATGAACATAGAAGCAAAGGTATCACTATGCCATTAGCAAATGCAAGTTCACAGAAAAGAAGATCCCTTCCATTCCCTTTTTCTTTTCAATAGTTCTCCGTTTAAAGCCAGGCTGAACCAAACTGATTGAAAGAGGCACTGAGTTTTAGATGGTCAGATAGTGGTTGCAAATCTGACTGTTAGATACAGGCTGTTAGATGCATTTTGAGAAGACACACAGAACTGAAAATAACACATATTTTGTGTTATTACATTTTTGCAGTATTAGAAAGCCCAAGTTTGTATCATATGTAAGTTCAAGTGTTAAGCACTGATAAGAGTAATTCTATGCATGTGTCTCAGAATACTCATTGACCTCAATGGAATTAAACCCTAAATGTGGGGGGTATTGGACTCAGCTGGACTTACTTACATATTTTATTATTTATTTATTTAGGGAACTTCTATGCCCCCCCCCATTCGCCGAAGCCTCGGGGCGGCTCACAATCATAAATAAATAACAATATAAAAAATATAATTTAACAGTATAAATTAAGTCACCCTGGCCAAAGAATAAAATAAATAAATAATATTAACAATTAAAATAACGTTTGAATAAAAATATCTTCGCCTGGTGCCGAAAAACAAATAACGACGGCGCCAGGCGGACCTCTCTGGGGAGCGCATTCCATAGGGTCCATATCGAGTCATACAGAAATGTGCTGGTTTCCAAGGGCAGCTGGTTGGTCAATGCATAAACAGAATGCTTGGCAGAGTTGGCTCGGTCTGATCTAGAATGGCTCTCTTTACCCTATTCAATACTACTTTTGATGAAACAAATGGAAACACGCCATTTTTTGTTTCCAATGATAGCTGCCTTTAGCAGGAAAGAAAGAGTCCTGCACCACCTTAAAGGCCAATACATTTAGTCATGATTTTGCACATTTAATGGTGGTGGGGTTTGGGAGTGAGGGACTGCTTGATTATATTAAGTAAACGGATGTGCTTCCTTTGTCAGTGTGAAAATAACTTTCAGAGCACAGGCAAAAAGAATGACCACTAGCTATTTAAGTGCACTTCAGTTTGAAAATTGGATCCCTTTATACAGATTTACACCTATATTTTTCCCTTTAGAAGATGAAGTCCAGACTTGCATATTTAGAGGTGTGTGTGTATGTACATGCACACCAACTGGCACTGATCGCCATTTGATCAATGGGAATATAAATTATCCATGAATCTTTTCCATCAAATCTGTTTTTCCCAAACAGAAACATCTGCTTTTTCCATATTAATGACCAAACCCTAAACACATAAGACAGTATCCAACATTGTCCAGGAAACTCTGCTGATGTTGTGCCCATGGAGTCCACAACAGTTGCAAAATGAAGTTGCACACCTTCCTAGAGCAGTCCTTGAAATGAGCAAAATCACTTCTTTCTGATATGGGACACATATGAATGTTCACTTCTGGGAAAAGGTGCTTCAGCTTATTTTCAGATGCTTTAGGAAGTGCTAAGTTCCCATTGCAATAGTGGTGGGTTCCTTTGATGCATGAATTAGCATTAGATACTGGCCACTGACTCAAAATTAAACAAATAACACTAATTTCAAGTCTGCTTTTAATAGGTATTTCTGGACAGATGATATCTCAAAAAGTTTTATGCAGGTGCTCATTTTTCATCTTAAGGAAATCTCTTTTATGAAAAAAGATGGAAAAACAGTGCTGAAACATGGAAGATGACACCCCATGATATTCCATGAATGAGGCATGGAAATAGCACAACAAAAGGAAACAAAAAACCAGTCTGAAAGTACCTAGTGATTTTATGTTCAGAAGCAATATGGCTCTGAATTACCAGCTACTGAGAGGTAGCCAATAGTGCTAGAGAGCTTCTGCATTCATGTACTGTTTGTGTAATTCCCAGGGGCATCGCACTGGTGAGAGACAGGATTCTGAACTAAGCAGACCTTTGATCTCATTCCAGCAGGACTCTTCTTGTGACACTTCTGTGCATTTGGATTGTTCCTTTCCTTTTCACCCCCAAATGTTCACAATAAATAAGTCACAGTGTTGTGACTAAGAATAAAAGTGGTTTCACTCCACTGTCACCATCCTGGATTTATCATTTTGTCTTTCATACATTCTTTCACTAGTGTTTGTTTAAGAAAAAGCAGTGCCATCTTTTTAAACTGCTACATAGTTCTTGTAAATTCTTACCTTCAAATAAACTTTTGAGAATTTTGTTTTTCTTTTCCACAACATAGCCCTTTCAAAAGAGCATCTTAAGAAATGGAATGATCATCCATAACCCAATACAGCCTTAAATTTAAACCCAACAGTTCCCACCATGAAAGCAACTACTGCATCTCCAGCCAAAGGTGCCCATCCAATCAATAATTAATTAAGCCAGAAGGAGCAAGTCCTGTTGGGTTGCATCCTGAGAAAATGACCTCTCTTCTATTGAGGCTCTAAAAAAATCAGTGAATGGTGGTGAGAAGTCAATGCACTGAATGAACCATGGATCATATTCAACTGAATCATTCTGTTGATCAGATTGTGCTGTGTTTGCAGTCTAAGTTTTGAGCTAGGTGCTACAAGAGAATCCAAGTAAAGTTCCAGTTGTGCAACTGCTTGAATAATCATTTGTAAGACATAGGTTTGTGCAGTGGTTCACTAGTGCTTGTGAAGCCTCTTGTGCAAGGGGAAAAGATAGCAGACCTCCTGTGATGCAGCAGTATCTTCGACTAGAAATATGCTGGGTTTAGGCCCATGTCTGAGGAAATGAAATTGACCCTTACCTGATGCCTTAAATCATACCCTGACTATAGTTTTATAGTCTAATTCTAAGACTTCATGCACTGAAGCCAAGGACAGGGCAATTGTCTTGGCAGCACCATGTTAGAAACACAACATTGTGCTGCTATTATACTAATATCAGCAACATTTATTAAAAATGTTTTAATAAATAAATAAATAATAAATAAATAAAAAATATTTATACCATCGAGTACTTTCAGCTTTGGAGCTACATCCTTGGAAATAGGTATGCGGTAAGCAATTATTGTCCTCAACAGATGAAAAAGGACAAGAAAGAGACTCAGTGAGAAACTATACTATGCACATCTACTTGGAAGTAATTCTCAATAGTTCAATGAGACTTGCTCCTATGTAAATGTGTATAGAATTGTAATCTTCGAAGCATAAATGGTGCCAAGTCCCAGTGTCCTGATCTAATCAAGAGGCGTACTCTCTGTAAAATCAAAGTATCTAGCAAGTGAGAACATTTCAGCCTGATGTAATTTAAATGGCTGGAATATTACATCTCCCTCTCTTCAAATAAATTGTGACCTAATAACAGACAGCAACCATTGCTGCAATTATTCTTCAAGAAATGGGGCTAAATTTTTGATAATTTCTCGGTGCCACTGTTCATCACTGATATGATTAAGTCAACTCGTTTCCCAAAGGCCGAGCTTAAGCGAGGAATTTGCTGTACCAATACATTAAATTCAGAGTCATTAAATCAGAACCTATTAGAGTGTCTCTAGAGCTGCATGTTCGCCCCTCCACCACACTTCTGACAAGGGGAAAAAAGGCAGCAGAAAATTATAGGAGACATAGGAGGATTGCTGCAGACTGATAAACTACAGCAGCCCAAGTTGTGATAGGAAGATACTTCAAAAATAATGGTCCAAATATTTTCGCCCTTATACTAGTTATTTCATGGAGTAAGTTTAGTGCAGCCCAGGGCTTCAAAGACAGCTAAAAGTGTAAAGGCCATATAAACTGAGTAAGATAGAGAGTACACAGTAGTTGAATGTGATTCCAATCTTTTTAGGGCTGGTAGGGAAAGTCTTTTACTCCTTTCTAACTGCAGCGTAACTTTGATATGTATGCAAAAGCGTTACAAAAATCAGTACATTATTTCCAGTGCATTATCAAAACTTGGAGCTTTCAAATACTTTCAGGTTTAATATATGTTTGTTAAAGAGAAAATGGAAGAAAAAGCCCTTTAATCCTGCAAGGAAAGAAATCAATTTAGTTCAGCCTCTTGATGTGTGTCAAAGCTATGTATAAATCTCAGCTGATGCACCATAGCTGTTGAGAGACTAAATATACCAGAGCTTTAGACTAGGTGTGTCCAAAGAGCAAAATAAACCTACCGCAAGTGACAATCCAGAACAGTCATGAGACACAACACAGATAAGGAGGACATAGAAGGAAGAAATAAAAATTAAAACATCCACACATAAACATTAGTAAAACCATGGAGAAATGACCATTTACATATGTTGTACATTGTCACTGGACCCCTTCACCCAGTTAAGGTTGCAATCCTGTACACTCTTACTAGGTAGTAAGCTCCACTGAACTCAGTGGGACTTCCTTCTGAGTAGACATGTAATAGAATTACTGTAAACCTTGTAAACTTTTACTTGCATGTAAGCAGATATTCCTCCAGAAAAAGATAGCCGTCTCCACA